GCAATGTACATGTCGATTAATGGATACGCCAGCCAAGTCATTTTACATTCAAAGTCAACACAAAACAACTACTGTTCTTCAGATATTAATTAATATGATCTTGTGATTAGTAGAAGACAAAATATAGCTCCCTTTGTCTCATAATGTAAGACGTTTTTTGACGCTACGCTAGTGTCAAAAAACGTCCTATATTATGGGACGGAGGGAGTAACTCGCTCTTGATGACCCGAGAGGAGAAAAAAAAACACTATAAGTTTTCCTATTTTGTGACTTCACATAAATTTTAGAAGAACCGGCTAAAGAATATAAGGCATTGCATATATTCATTGAATTAAATGTGCAATGCACGCGCCATGTGAGGAGAAATATGTGACCGCCAAAAAGCGCGGGAAAGTTTAAACATTATATTTTGTATGTACCTCCAATAAATACCAAGTAATGTCAAATGTCATAGAGAACAAACGCAATAGGCATCCGACAGATACAAGGACGCTTAAAAGCGAAGAAAATTTTTAAACAAGTGTATTGTAAACGCCACATGGATAAATGCAATGTGACTTCAGACGCCATAGAACGCAGTAGCCAATAGGCATCCAGAGGATATAAGGCCTATAAATAGCACGGGTAAGTTTAACAGGCATATGTAGATCAATAAAATAAAAAAATGACTTCAAACGACATAGAAAACAAATGCAGTGGGCATCCCACGGATAAAAAGGCATCTTAAAAGGATTGAAAAGTTTAAAATGGGAATACGTAAATGCAAAGTCGATAAAATGACTTCAAACGACATACAAAACAAATGCAGTAGGCATCCTCTCTCTCTCTCATGCCGTCGCCTAGCTCGTCACTGTCCCACCTCCACTCATCTCTTCTCAGACGATGCGCACACAGGAGCTTGCTGAAAGGACCCTCCACGCCTCCCTGTCTGGTACTATTGTCACTGCAGTTGCTCGACGCCGCCTCAGGTGGCATGTCATTCCTCCAGTCGTGAAGGAGGACAGGAACGATTCCAACTCCCCATGTCGGTGTGGTTGGGCAAAGCGGCACCACTGCTCCCCTTCCACCGTCCCACTACATGTCAGTTGCTTGGCACCAGTAAGCAAGCGACGACGATGGTGCCGGCTCAGTGGCGCCAAGAAGATACTCCTCTAACCCATCTTCCTCTATGTTCCTCCCTCCTGGGAAGGAACAAGGCCAGTGTTTCTACGATCGACATACATGATGCGCACGAAGTGAACTGTAGAAAGTAAAATAGAGGGGGAAAGGGGGGGGGGTCTTGTTTTTGTTAGTTTGTTGGAGCAGGTGAAAAAGGTGCACATCATTAGGAGCCCTAGAAAGAGCTTTTAGGGGCTATATTTTTGGTTAGTCTTCCGTGATCTTCTAATATTGTATCTTCTGGGTATGCCTTAGTTGTGGTGCAAGATGTATCTACAATATTACAATTAATTTGGTACTATCTCTTGCTCAAAGAAAAATGTACTCTCACTTGGCCATATGTCATCATAAATTGACATATATAAATGATCAAATATATTTCTTACCCTGTAATAGTTTGCATTGGGTCCAACTTACCCATCTCAGGATAGCATTCAAGGGTTAATAGAGAGTGTATTTCTTAACATTGAAGGATATCAAATCATACGGGTTGCATTCTCACCATTTTCTGTACTTTCCACATTTAACCCTTCACATATCACAAACAAAAGGATAACGACATCACCGTCGAACTCTTGTAAAGAAGTTCCGAGAACACTAATGAACCATTGATGATGTGCTCACACTTACTCCCTTAGTCCCGAAATACATGACGTATCCGGGAGTGCACCGGTCGCGACATCGACGTTCTCTCCGGACAGGCAGTCCGGAGTGGCCGGGGGGCGGAGGCAGGTGGCCTTTGCCTCCCCAGTAGCTGACGCTGCGCTCTCACCTGGTCATGGCGACCGGGTGGATGTTCGGGGAGTGACAGGCGGTTGCTCCCCGGATAAATTCTCGAGGGAGGAGGTCATTCAGTTTGGTGGGATCCCGGACCAGGCGTCTGAGGGCCGACGCATGAGTGGTCGGCTTCAGGGCTATCCGGAGGTTGACGACATGCAGCAGCGCTGTGCCGTGAGGGCGGCAAAGCTTCGTGACGTCCAGGTCACTACTGGTATGTCCGTGAACACTTCAAATACTATTCTGCATTTTTCGAATGATCAAATTGTGGATAAGGCAAACCAATTAGGAATTTCACTTGGTAGTAATGAGGGTGAAGTTACTAGTTCTATTAACGATTTACTTGATCTAGAAGCCGAGAGGGCTTTAGAAATGATTCGTAACTTAGCTGCTGTCAAACCGATGAACGATTCAGAGATTGATGCCTTGGGAGTTCGAATACTTGATAATTTTTGTGATGACCTCGCACCGCCCCTCCAGGAGCCGGAGGAGGAGGACGAGGAGGTCGGTTTGGAAGAGGTTAGATCGCCAGTTACGGGCAGTGTGGACCGGGTGGGCCCGACTAGCCCTAAGCGCAAGTGGAAGCGCAAGTGGAAGCGCAAAATATACCCGATGTCCGCGGTCCGTAGGAGCGCTAGGATCCGCACGGCTAAAAAATTTCATGATGAGATATGAGAGGAATCTTCTGGAATAGCAGAGGTCTTAAGGACTTGGCTAAAAGGAGGTTCCTGGCGGAAGGATCCATTGAGCATAGATTGGACTTTATTGCCGTATCGGAAACGGGTAGAGCAAATTTCTCACCTCAATTTCTCAATACGTTGTCGGGGGGTATTGAGTTTGACTGGCATTGTCTTCCGCCGAGAGGACGGTCGGGTGGAATCTTATTTGGTGTTAGATGTGACTCTCTCGAAGTTCGCAGTGTGGTCATGGGGGATTTTGCTGTTAAGTTCAGGGTGCGGTCCAAAGTTGATGGGTTCGACTGGGCTTTGGTGGCGGTGTATGGGGCGGCGCAGGCAGAGCTCAAACCTGACTTTTTGGCTGATCTTGTTAGAGTCTGCCGGTCTGAGCAGCTCCCAATTCTGGTTGGGGGTGATTTTAATATCATTAGAAGACGCGATGAAAAGAATAATGACAATTTTGATGGGAGATGGTCATTTATGTTTAATACTATTATTGAAAGCTTAGATTTGAGAGAGATTGAGCTTTCAGGGAGGAAGTTCACCTGGGCTAACGCGTTGCCAAATCCAACGTTCGATAAGTTGGATCGGGTTCTGGCTAGTGTTGCTTGGGAACAAAAGTTTCCCTTTGTAACGGTGCAAGCTCTATCCCGCGGCATTTCTGATCACACACCCCTGCTGCTCGACTCTGGTGGGGCTACCTACTCGGGTAACAAGAATTTATTCTCTTTTGAGCTGGCGTGGTTTGAAAGAGAAGGATTCTTGGATCTTGTAGCCAGAGAATGGGCTAAAGATGCAGGAGGTAGGAATGCCCTTGAGCGCTGGCAGAACAAGATTAGGCACCTCAGAAGTTTCCTTCGGGGGTGGGCTAAACATCTAGGTGGAATGTATAAGGTGGAGAAGGAACGACTCCTTTCCCTTATCCAAACCTTAGATATAAGGGCTGAAACTACGATTCTGTCAGCCCCCGAGCTTCATATCAAGCATGAGGCTGAGGGGAGGCTGAAAGAGTTACTCCGTGAGGAAGAATTAAAGTGGGCGCTGCAGGCAAAGGTGACAAAAGTTGTCCAGGGGGATGCGAACACTCAGTTCTTCCACATGATAGCCAATGGCAAGCACCGGAAGAAGAGAATTTTCCAGTTAGAACAAGATGAGGGTACAATAGTCGGTCAGGACAACCTGAAGCTTTACATTACTGAGTACTATAAACGTCTGTTCGGACCACCAGAGGAGAACTGTGTGTCCCTGGATGAGTCTAGGGTTCACGATATCCCTCAACTTACTGCTGTGGAGAACGATGTTTTAACTGCCCCTTTCTCGGAAAAGGAGGTTTTCGAAGCTATCTCCAAGATGAAGTGTAACAAGGCAGCGGGGCCGGATGGTTTCCCGGCTGAGTTTTACAAGAAGTGCTGGCATATTATCAAAGGGGACCTGATGCCGATGTTCCATGATTTGTTCTCGGGACATTTGCAGCTTTTCCAACTAAATTTTGGAACGATAACTTTGCTGCCTAAGAAAACAGATGCCGTGAGAATTGAGCAATTTCGGCCCATCTGCCTTTTGAATGTCAGCTTCAAGATCTTTACCAAGGTTGGAACGATCAGGCTCACGCAGATTGCGCACACAGTTGTGCAACCTTCTCAAACGGCGTTCATGCCGGATAGGAACATCCTCGAAGGGGTTGTGGTCCTTCATGAAACGCT